GTCCCCTCCCCACAAGAGATATATTAAAGTTCTGGCCCTGGCTCACGCCTGTAATCCCAGCACTTTGGGAGCCCGAGGTGGGTAGATCACTTGAGCTCAGGAGTTCAAGACCACCCTGGCCAACATAGCAAAACCCTGTGTCTTCTAAAAACACAAAAATTAGCTGGGCATGGTGGCGCACACTTGTAATCCCAGCTACTCGGGAGTCTGAGGCGGGAGAATCGCTTGAACCCTGGAGGCGGAGGTTGCAGTGAGCCGTGATCATACCACTGCACTCCAGCCTGGGTGACAGAGTGAGACTCCACCTCAAGAAAAAAAAAAAAAAAGAAGAGGAGAAGAGACACAGAGACAGGGAAACAAGAGAGAAGACGGCCACATGGTGACAGGTGCAGAGTGGAGTGATACAGCTACAAGCCAAAAAACATCAAGGATTGCTAGAAAACACTAGAAACTAGAAGAGGCAAGGAAAGGTTTTTCCCTACAGGTTTCAGAGGGAACATGGGCAAAACCTTGACTTCAGTCTTCTGGCCTCAGAGCTCTGAGACAATATGTTTGTGTTATTTTAAGCCACCCAGTTTGGCATCCAGTATTTGGTAGCCCTCACAAACGAAGAGTTTCTAAGATACTTTCTATCCCTACATTGTTCTGCTTTGGTGCTCTTATGTGGTTGAGAAGGAGCCAAAGGTACCAAGTTCTTTTCCTTGTGAAGTTCAGATGGATGCCCAGATGAATGGGGCAAGAGGGATGAGGGAGGGGATTACAGACTGTGGGATTATAGGCTTTTAGCATAAGGCTTTGATTCCAACAGTTGTCAAATTGAGGTTACACACTGAGTCTTGGTTAGGGGAGGCACTTCAGACAGTCCCTGACACACAGCAGACCCTCACAAAAGGTTGCTTTTCTGCATATATTACATTAATACAAAGAAGAGCTGAAGAAATACACTCACAAGCTGTTTGATGTGAGCTCAACTGCTGATTGCATCCCACAGCCCAGTTCCATGCTGCTTCTGTCCACTCCTTTATTTTTTTGGATTTTTGCCAAAGTTCTAGGATGTAAAGTCCCCCTCTTCAAGGAACATTTATTTAGAATGTCTTGCTACACTCGAAAACACAAATCTCTCTTGGTTTGTACCTTGTTGTCTTAACCAGAGCAAAATCCAGTTGGTAAACAAACCAAAAAAAAACAAAACAAAACCTATTTTGGCCTCCACAGCTGCCACCCCTTACCTCCATCTCTCACACATTTTCTAGTATGTAAAGAACTTGTGACTGTGAGGACGAGTAGATTTTCACACAGACAGAAACTGAGAATACAGCCATTATCACTCTGTGGACAAATCTTCAAATCCATGCCTTTTCACTCACTGGAATGTAAGAAGTTAATGGTATTTTCACAGGATAAATCTGGATGTTTCCATAAATCTTAAGTTGTTCGTGCTAACCACGAGTGTGTCTATCAGTAATACATGAGATCTCCAAAAGATTTAGGAGAGACATTGGTGAAGGTGTTTATTTTTATTTATTATTATTTTAAATTAAATTAAATTTTCATAGAGTCTTGCTGTGTTGCCCAGGCTGGTCCTGTTGTTTCCTTTTCCCCTTCCTTCCTTCCTTCCTTCCTTCCTTCCTTCCTTCCTTCCTTCCTTCCTTCCTTCCTTCTTTCCTTCCTTCCTTCCTTCCTTCTTTCCTTCCTTTTCTTTCTTTCGACAGTCTCACTATGTTGCCCAGGCTGGAGTGCAGCGACACCATCAGGGCTCACTGCAGCCTCTACCTCTGCTGGATCAGGCGATCCTCCTGCCTCAGCCTCCCAAATAGCTGGGATATGTAGATTTGGAGTGGGTATCCATTTCAGGTAGGAGGAAGAACAGTATTAGCAAAGGCAGAGACAAGAAAGCACCATGCATTTTGGAGATAATAGAATCAAGCTTTTCAGAGTGGAAGGGATTTTAACACATTGGTTAGTCCAGTGATTTTTCATATCACGTTAAATTGCAGAACTCTAAAAGATGATTTAGAGACAATGTACAAGGCAGACAAAAGTGAAGCTGATCTGAGTAGATTGGGGTGGATCTAGTGGGGCCCAGCCATGATGATATGAGAGACCCATGTGTAACCTTCATAAGAGAAACGTAAACTGAAGTCAAGATAAGGTTTGGTTAACAAATACAGATAGGAGGAGAATTGAATAAATAGAGACATTCATGTCCCTGGGTGGAGAAGTGTCCGTTGTTACCTAATTAATGTATACCTTCACTGCGATTCCAACTCAAATCCTCATGGAAGTTTTGTAGAACTTAATCTTTTTTTCAGAAAGAAGACTCTAGAATTAGGAGAATTACTCTAACATTTAACAGTATATTGTAAAACTGTAGTAATTTACATTCTATATATTTATCACATAATACTATAATACTTTCTAATACATAATAAAGAACAGTGCGATAATGGGTATACAAGGCTTATCCAAAGATAAGCCTTATTATACAATAAGATTAAATACATGAGAAAAAGCCATTACAAAATCAAAGGGAAAGATAAAGAAAAATGGAGTTTTCTTTGGGAATAATATATACGTCATCTGGAATAAAAATCCTATTGCTATTCAGTACAAACCTATACCAAAATAAGTTCCAGATGATTTAAGGTTTTAATATATTTTAAAATATAAAAAAGAATAAAATAAATTAAATAGGTAGTAAACATCTAGGTAGAAAAATGACATTCTATACTAAGAAACACTTGAAATCAAAAGATGAACAGATTTTAATAGATACAATGTTAAATCGCTCTAAGTAAAAAATAAAAATAAAATCAATAACCAAAAATAAGGCACCAATAGGCTGAAAAGTGCAAAAATAAACACTATACAAACTTAATAACCTTTTTGTATGATTTCATAAAGTAAGAAACATCACCAAGACCTTCCCCACAAAATGAGTAGACAACCCACCAAATCAAATTTGCAAACACATATATGGAAAGATGATTAAACGTATTTGCAGGCAAAGAAATACAGACTGGCCGGGCGCAGTGACTCACGTCTGTAATCCCAACACTCTGGGAGGATGAGATGGGTGGACTGCTTCAGCCCAGTAGTTTGAGAATAGCCTGGCAACACGGTGAAACCCTGTCTCTACCAAAAATACAAAAAAGTTATCCAGGGATGGTGGCGCACACCTGTAGTCCCAGCTACTTGGGAGGCTGAGGCAGGAGGATCACTTGAGCCTGGGGGGTTGAGACTGCAGTGAGCCGAGATGGCACCTGCACTCCAGCTTGGGCAACAGAACGAGAACTTGTCTCAAAAAAAAAGAAAGGAAATATATAGGCTTTGATTTTTTTTGTCATTCTAGCCAATTAACCTTTTCTAAAGAAATTATTATGAAATTCCAACTAGCCTAAAAATAAAAGTTTTTTTTTTCTTTTTTGAGACAGTCTCATTCTGTTGCTCAGGCTGGAATGCAGTGGTGCAATCTTGGCTCAGTGCAACCTCTACCGCCTGGGTTCATGATGCAATTCTCCTGCCTTAGCCTCCTGAGTAGCTGGGATTACATGCATGTGCCACCACACCAGGCTAATTTTTGTATTTTTAGTAGAGACAGGGTTTCACCATGTTGGCCAGGCTGGTCTTGAACTCCTGACCTCGGGTGATCCAGCTGCCTCCCCATCCCAAAGTGCCAGGATTACAGGCGTGAGCCACTGTGCCCCACCTAAAATAGTATTTGTAAGTGTCTATCCTTAAAATAATTCAAAAAAGTGAGAAAAGTTTGATGTACAAAGCCATTCAGCTCAGTATTATTTACAATACCAAAAAGCTAATATGCAAACAAATGAATAAATGAAGCCACAATGGAAGATTGGTTAAGTAAAATGGAATATACTAACTTGATAGCAGATTATGCATTCATTTAAAGTTTTTAATGCAAACACTGTGCAAAATGATTTTATGTTGAGTAGAGGCAACAGGAAACCTGTGTTACTCCTACTGTATCCCCAGTGCTTAGCACAGCACCTTGTCCCCAGTAGGGAACCAATATGATTTGTTAAGTGAATGAAAACTGCACACACATGGTATGACTCTGGACCATGTAAAACCTACTTACAGAGAAAAGAATGAAAAGAAATAACAATAATGGTAAAAGTGTAGAAGCTATACTCCTACTTTACATTTCTTTTCATTTTTTGAAAAAATAAAAAATAAAAAGAGGCAATACCCAAAATATTATACAGGGAGTACTTATAATTGTTCATCAAACTTTAACTGGGTGTCCTGTATTGTTATTTGCTAACTCTAGAAAACCGACTAAACATCAGATTTCAAATCCTTATAGTTAATGTTTGCTTGTTTTATATAGACATATGTTTTAGAGGCGGGATCTGGCTCTATGACCCAGGCTGGAGGGCAGTGGCACAAACGCAGCCCGCTGCAGGCTCGCCTCCTGGGCTCAAGTGATCCTTCTGCCTCAGTCTCCAAAGTAGCTGGGACTGCAGATGTGTGCTACCACGCCTAACTAATTTTGAAATTTTTTGTAGAGGTAGGGAGTAGCACTTTGTTGCCCAGGCTGGTCTTGAACTCCTCAGCTCAAGTGATCTTCTTGCCTTAGCCTCCCAAAGTGCTGGGATTACAGGCGTCAGCCACCGGGCTCAGCCCCTAACAGTTAATTTTTGAAGTTTATTGAACCAATCAGTTCCCTTGATGCGTGGTTATTTTTTTCTTCCTCATACATAATTGTGTGTATTTTTTCTGTATAGAAAAAGTGTAAACAAAGAGAAAAAACTACACTAAATCCCACTACCAAAGATAACTACCACTTATATTTTGTTTAAGACATTTCCTACATATATGCATATAAGATTTATATATGTAGTTTTACATACATATGAAATCATACCATAGATGCTTCCTTGTAATCGTGGATTTTTGCTATTTATGTTTTCCTTGACTGCCAATTTCACTGCCTGTTCAGAGGTCTGACTTCCATAAAAATCCCATTTACTTACCATTCCCGGGGGCCAGCAGTACATGGGCCACATATGCAGATGATTAACTGGTAGTTTGTTGTTTTTCTGGCAAATCACATAGCACAGGCTTACAGAGGGGCCTCCCTTGAGAGCACAAGCCCAGAACCTGTTATCTAAGCCCTCCAGAGTCTTGAAAAAGAGACACAATTTTGTGAGGAATATGTTCATGTGAATTGGTACTTACTAGGCTTTATTTCATCTCATGCCAATTTTGTTCCAGAAACTTCCTAGAAAGCTATGAAAATATGAGACAATGACCATGGATAATACGATATCTGGGAGAGGTACTGATTACACAACGCAGTCTTTTTTTTTTTTTTTTTTTTTTTTTGAGACGGAGTGTCACTCTGTCACCCAGGCTGGAGTGCAGTGGTGCAATGTTGGCTCACTGCAAGCTCCACCTCTCAGGTACAAACAATTCTCCTGCCTCGGTCTCCTGAGTAGCTGGGATTACAGGTGCACGCCACCATGCCTGGGTAATTTTTGTATTTTTTGTGGAGATGGGATTTCACCACGTTGGTTAGGCTGGTCTCAAATTCCTGAGCTCAAGTGATCCACCCACCTTAGCCTCTCAAAGTGCTGGGATTACAGGCATGAGCCACCAGGTGCATGAGCCGCCTGGCCCATGCAATGCAATCTTAGTGGCTGAATTCAACATTTATTGAGCAGCTACTATAGGCCAGACACAAGGTTAAGCACACAAAGAATAGGAAGACCAAGAAAATGTACCCCAGCCAGAGGAAGCTTCAACTTACTCAACATAATATGAAGTAGATATTCATCTATGATTCTACCATTCAGAAATACTATTATTAACATCGATCCAGATATAATAATTATAATGCCTAGCACTTACAGAGTTTTTCTTTTTTCTTTCTTTCTTTCTTTTTTTTAATAGAGACAGCCTCTCACTAGGTTGCCCAGGCTGGTCTCGAAGTCCTGGGCTCAAATAATCCTCCCACCTCGGCCTCTCAAAGTGCTGGGATTACAGGTGTGAGCCACCACATTCAGCCTGCAGCTCTTATTTTATACAGACTTTGTTTTAAGAGTTTTAATAGCCACTTATGAAATCCTCAAAATATTATTGCAATATACAATTTGTATTTCTATTGCACGGATGAAGAAACTGTGACAAAGCAAGATTATTTAACTTGCCTTAAATTGCACAGCTACAATGTGGTAGGGCCTCAATTCAAAACCAACGTCTCTCCATAGATGAGACAGAGAGAGTGAGAGAGAGAGAGAGAGAAGTGAAGAGAGATGACATTGCTTTGGAAACCAGATTTTGAAACCAATAGCATACAACACTTACTATGTGTCAATTACTGTCCTGAGTATTTTAAATATTATGATTTATTTTATCCATAAAGTTAGCATGTACTACTTATTTCATCCATACAACTTAGTGACCGACCACAAGTGACTTTAAGAACCTTAACAAGGGCTAGACTGCCACGACACCTGGGGTTGCCTTGCATTTCATCAGAGCTTCTCTACATTAGGGGGTTCTGCCTCACCTGAAAATCAAGATCCCTTAGGTGAAACTTTTCAAGTCTGCTTTCCCAGCCTTGACGCTCATGGTCACACCTGAAGTCGTTTATCTCTGGACCCATCTCCTGGAAGGTTTAGGCATCATTGATAAATGCCCATCCACAGGTGAGCCACAGCCCCGGATTGTTAGCTGTATAATTGCATCCATACACCTGAAAAATGTGAGCAATTTCGCTCCGAGCTCTGAGGTGGTTTCATATGAGCAGATTTTCAAATGATGTGTGGGAAACGGAGAACACAATTGTCAGCCTCGGAGAAATGAGCACCACCCAAAGGGAGGTAGTCCCGGGAGGTGGTGCTGTGCAGACCTCCAGGACCCAGCGGTATCAGCTGCCTTGAACGAGTGAAGCTCCATGGTGAGTGTGCCAAAGAACAGCTTTCATTTCCTCTCATCCGTCCCTTTCTCTTGGGCAAAATGAACCGTAAAGTTTATATTCACTTTAGTGCATACATTTTAAATATGCCCTATAAAACCACAGGCGTAATGAATTCAAGATGCCCACATCATAGTAATTCTGCATACAAGCTGTGTTTTATGATTTGGATCCAGTCTTTTTAGGATTTTTCAATAGGACCAGACTCCAGACTGCAGGGAAATGAAAAGAAGGATAATGATATGAAGTTTCACGTCACTGCTCAGTTTCCAACACTGTTGTCCTGTAGTCACCAAGCGGGTGCATTCTTTGTGTGCAGTGAAGTGAGTGGATGGCCCCCGGCTGAGCGATGCCCAGGTAGGAGGGACGCTTGGCCTTCCTGTGCTCCCCCCACTGGCTCTAGGTGTCCTCTGTGGGTTGTGATTGGTCATGTGAGCAAGCGAGCACATGGGCCTGTGTACATTTCTGCAGTTCTGGGCTAGCCCTGCCTTGCAGGTGCCAGAGAAACACGTGCTTCAGTAGGGTCAGATTGGTCATGCATCTGTGCTCAGATTGAATGAGGGGCCTCCCTGAAGAATTCCAGCTTGCAGAGGCACTTTCAAAATGCAGTGAGCTCAGGTTCCAAGAGCTGTTACGGCAGTTTTTGTATTGACACTCTGTTCCCCTGAACCCCACTTTGGGAAGAAGGGAAGAAGCCACCATGGGCCAGGCAGGCAACAGAGCAAGCCCTAGCCAGATGGCAGGACATCAGAGGCCTGTTCCTTCTCTCCAAAGTGGGCTTCATTTACTCCTTTTCAAGCAACAAGACAGTCTGTTCAACGTCGGGGAGCCTTTAAGACATGGGGGCGGGGAGGGGTCATATTTTTGGCCTCTCTTCTGCTCTGCGGCCTTTCTCATGAATGCAGACCAATGTGCATAATGTGGCCAGGACACAGGCTTTTTGCTCAGAATGCTCACATGAAATGTAAGGATCTCTTGTTCCCTGTAACTTTAGACGAGGTTTCAAAACACAGAATCCATGCTGGAACCACCAGGCCAGCAGCGGGTGGTGGGCTGTCTTCGGAGCAGATGGAACAAAGGATTGGGTTCCCAAGTTCCTATGGTAAGACAAAAGGGCAAGATGTCAACCCAGGACCACCCAAGGAAAATTAAATACAGATCGACTTTTGATGGTTTATGTTAACAGATGGGAGATGGGGTTTTGATCTTGGGAAAAACAAACATCACCAACTCTACCGTAATCACTGTTTCTCACACCCTACAGTAGAGTAGCAAGAACTGCTAGGTAGCCACAAACACACAAGTGGGGTGGGAGCTTCTGTTTCTTCTATTGTTCAGTGTGCCTTCCACGGGCTAGAGAGCGCAGGGCAACGTCAAGAAAGGCGCCCTGGGTTTCTCAGCCAGCCACTGAGACAGAGAAAAAAATGGGTCCTCCAGCAGTCAACTCCCCTTTCTCAACTCCATATCTGGGATCAGAGGCCCTCCTGGCTCAGCCCTGGATCGGGGACAGCCCACCCACGCACACATCCCTCTCAGCCACAGCAGTGCCCGTCACACTGGAGCTCCTACACAGCCTGGGATTACAGGTGGAATAAACATTGCTAACTCTATTCTCAACCCAAATCTTTTTCTAGCTTTTTTTTAAAAAATGCATTATGAGGCTGGGCACGGTGGCCCACGCCTGTAATCCCAGCACTTTGGGAGGCCGAGGCGGGCGGATCACCTGAGGTCAGGACCAGCCTGGCCAATATGGTGAAACCCCATCTCTACTAAAAATACAAAAAAATTAGCTGGGCATGGGGGTGGTTGCCTGTAATCTCAGCTACTCAGGGGGCTGAGACAGGAGAATCACTTGAACCCGGGAGACGGAGGTTGCAGTGAGCTGAGATGAAGTCATTGCACTCCAGCCTGGGTGACAGAGCAAGACTCCGTCTCAAAAAAAAAACAAAAAACAAAAAAGAGAAAAACCGTTAGTGAAAAATTTCAAGCATACTCAGAAGCAGAGAACATTCTACAAGGAACCCGAGATTCAGCAGTTACCAAGATTTGCCACACTTCTTCATCTATCCCAATTTTCCTCTTTCTTTACAGCAAATTCCAGATATCATGTCATTTTAGCCCCTCATCCTTCAGGATGCATCTCTAAAAATATGGACATTTTCTTACAGAATTTCAATGTCATTGTCACTCCTAAAAAATTAACAGTAATTCCTTGAAATTGTCTATATCACAGTCCATATCAGATTTCCTGTCTTTCATAAAATTGTCTTTATTAGTTAGGTTTCGTTAGTAGCCAAGAAAGATCTGCACATTTCATGTAGCTGTAGTGCCTCCACGTTCACCTTTCCTGCCCTACTCCTTGAATCAGCCATTTCTCTAAGAGTCCTTGGTTTCTTTTATTGGAAAATGGTATTAGAAACTGAGTACCTGTGCCCGGCCGATTCATTTTTATAATCCCAGCACTTTGGGAGGCCAAGGGAGACGGAGCACCTGAGGTCAGGAGTTCGAGACCAGCCTAGCCAACATAGCAAAACCTCGTCTCTAGTAAAAACACAAAAAATTAGACAGACATGGTGGCAGGTGCCTGTACTTGGAAGCCTGAGGTGAGAGAATTGCTTGAACCTGGGAGGCAGAGGTTGCAGTGAGCCGAGATCGCGCCATTACTCTCCAACCTGGGCAACAGAGAGAGACTCTGTCTTAAAAAAAAAAAAAAAGAAAAGAAAAGAAAAGAAAGAAAGAAACTAAGATCTAGGCCTGTTGCTATTGCTCAGTTATTGGGGTGCTTGTTGCTATTGGGGTGTTATTGCCTCTAAGCCTTTCAGCTGAGAGAGCAAGGAAATATATGTCCATATACTATATTTGCCTATGTATATCCATATATCTAAAAATAGTTCTATATGTACCATCTGTATCAGTATTAAGCTAAGCATGAGTCATACTGATGTCTCCAATGCTAATCCAGTGCCATCTGGATCATTCTAACACTCTCCCTTGCTTACCTGTAACCTCCCACTCCAACAGTGAGAAAACTGGCTTCCAACATCCATATTTACCCTTCACTACTTCTTCTTCTTCTTTTTTTTTTTTAAGATGGAGTATCGCTCTGTCTCCCAGGCTAGAGTGCAGTGGTGTGATACAGCTCACTACAGCCTCCAACTCCTGGGCTCAAGTGATCCTCCCACCTCAGTCTCCCAAGTAGCTCAGACTACTACTACAAACCATCAAGCCCAGCAAATTTTTATTTTTTGTAGAGATGAAGTTTTTCTTTGTTGCCCAGGCTCCTTGACATCTTTTTAACCTACGTCCACCCTTCAGACAAAATCACTACAAAATCCATTCTAAGTTATTTAAAGCAGAAAAGGAATTTATTAAGTGATTTTTTTTTTGAGGGGGGGCAGTGGAGTCTCACTTTGTTGCCCAGGCTGGAGTGCAGTGGCGTGGTCTTGGCTCACTGCAATCTCCACCTCCTGAGTTCGAGAGAGTCTCCTGCCTCAGACTCCTGAATAGCTGAGACTACACGTGCCCACCACCACGCCCGGCTAATTTTTTTTTTTTTTTTTTTGAATTTTTAGTAGACATGGGTTTCACCATGTTGGTCAAGCTGGTCTCCATCTTCTGACCTCAGGTGATTCACACACCTCGGCCTCCCAAAGTGCTGGGATTACAGGTGTGAGCCACTGCCTGTATATTTTTTAATATACTACCAAAATTTCCATGGGAGTCCAAGAATCAGGTGTGGGGCTTTGCAGCTAGTGCCACTCCAGACCAACTGTGCACAAATGTGGCAGGCCACATGTTTTTCATTCAGAATGCTCAGATGAAATGCCATGCCAGGCCCGGGCTCTGCCAGTGTGTGGTGCCGGAATCTCCACCGCTGCTGCCCCAAAGCCAGGCACCCACACCACCATCCTCTCACAGGAGCTGTTTCCTTGCATTACCCTCCTTCTAAACGATGTCTCGGTTGGGCTCTCACTGGCAGAGCCTGTGTCAAAGACTAAGCCCTAACCCCAAGGGAAAGTGAGCTTCCTGCTTCCTCCAAGGGAAGTCAAGATTCACAGGGCATGAAATTCTCCAAAGAGAGAAAAGCTGTCCAAAAGATGTTGGGTGGCTATTTAAAAAATTATGTAGCCAGAGGGTTGGGCACGGTGGCTCATGCCTATAATCCCAGCGCTTTGGGAGGCTGAGGTGGGCAGATCACCTGAGGTCAGGAGTTCTAGAACAGAGTGGTCAACATGGTGAAACCCCGTGTCTACTGAAAATACAAAAATTAGCTGGGCATGGTGGTGCACGCCTGTAATCCCAGCTACTTGAGAGGCTGAGGTAGGAGAATCGCTTGAACCCAGGAGGCGTAGGTTGCAGCGAACTGAGATTGTGCCACTGTACTCCAGCCTGTGTGACAGAGCGAGACTCCCTCTCAAAAATAAGTAAATACGGATCACAAGGTTAGGAGATCGAGACCATGGTGAAACCCCGTCTCTATTAAAAAAATAGAAAAATATTAGCCGGGCGCAGTGGCGGGCGCCTGTAGCCCCAGCTACTCGGGAGGCTGAGGCAGGAGAATGGCGTGAACCCGGGAGGCGGAGCTTGCAGTGAGCTGAGACGGCACCACTGCACTCCAGCCTGGGCGACAGAGCGAGACTCCGTCTCAAAAAATAAAAAATAAAAAAAAATAAGTAAATAAATAAGTA